GGTGAGAGTTGTGCGGCCCTGAAGCAGAGGGGAGGGGGTTGAGAGTCGAGGGTGAGAGTCTGGCGCCCCTTTGTAGGAGGGGAGTGGGGGCAAGAATCAAAGATGAAAGCTATCTAAAACTTGTTGGAGATCTTTCAGGGCCATGACCTTGATGACATATGTCAAAGTCGCAGTCATCGGCGTGGTATCCCGTACAGTGAACGACTATCAAACATATTTGAAAGCAATGAATTCTCGTGTTATATAGTTGAACTTTTTTTGTTCATAACTTTTTAACGAGTAACGAGCGACGGCTAAAACTTGTTGAAAGTCACTCAGGGTCATGACCTTGACAACATATGTCAAGGTCAAGGTCATTGGGGGGGGGGGGAGTTCCCCGATCTAGATATTTACCTTTTTTCTTTATTTTCAACTAATTCTTATTTGTATTGCGGGAATATTTTGCGAATTATAAAAAAATAATTTAATCCTAGAACAGCATATATAGGTCTTAATATACACAATGGATCTGCTAGAAACATCGCTATCATATTTGTGTTAAATGTCTGTAATACTATAAGAATAAATCTATGTATATGAAGATGTCTTTCCGAGTCAAATACTGGTAGTTCATGTGTAAATGAAATTTATTCGATAATTTTGTTACCAAACGTTTCGATTCTCGCTTCGGATCCTTGTCAATGTATACAATTCCACAAAATATCATTGTTCTTCCCGGAACGTTACTTACAAACATATATACTTTAAATTTAAAATGCCTATTACGGTCGAAGCTGGATCTTCGTTGCTTAAATAATTCAATCTTGAATTACTAATATATACTCTATATGTACTTGCATATATACTGTATTGTAGTTTTTTTCAAACTGTGCGCCGAATTATTTTTTCGGACTAAATAAACGCAATTAAAACTACTCTAGCAATCGCGAATTAAATTAACAAGCAATTCAATAATTTGATGCTACCATCAAGTATCATGTCTTATAAAGATGTTAATATGTTAAAACTGTTAATAAATTTATTGCGAAAAATGTTACCTCGGCCGGAACTTGAACCCGGATCTCTTGTATTCCGTACGTTTAATTGCGTTTATTTAGTCCGGAAAAATAATTCGGCGCGCAGTTTGAAAAAGATTACAATATAGTATACATATATGCAAGTACATATATAGTATATATTAGTAATTCAAGATTGAATTATTTAAGCAACGAAGATCCAGCTTCGACCGTAATAGGCATTTTAAATTTCTAGTATCGATTGTCTTTCTCACATATACGGTCTAAAATAAAGATATTATATATACTTTAATTATTAAATGTTTAAAAAAGATATTTAACATAATGAAATTCTAATACAATACTCTCATACCTATTACAAATGATAATATTTATAATTTAATAACTTACATGATAATGTTAAGATTAGAAAATACGAAGTTATCGTGAAAAGACGGAACACATCTAAACACAAACGATATTTCCATCCTTTTACCCTAAAAACAAAGTAAAGAAAAAATTGAAGAGAGAGAAACCCATTAATCATACCTAAGACTTATCTTGGAAATGATTTATATTCAGAAACAGAAAAATAGTTTGAACATGCAAACGGACAGATTTGTTAAATAAAAACTATGTTTATTTATGGACTAATGAGTTTCTCTTTCTTCAATTTTTTTTACTTTATTTTTAGGATGAAAGGACGGAAAGAGCATTTGTGTTCAGATGTGTTCCGTCTTTTCACACAATAACCTCGTATTTTCTAATCTCAAAATTATCACGTAAGTTATAAAATTATAAATACTATCATTTGTAATAGGTATGAGAGTATTGTATTATAGAAAAAATTTTATTATATTAAATATCTTTTTTAAACATTTAATAATTAAAGTATATATGTTTGTAATTAGCGTTCCGGGAAGAACAATGATATATTGTGAAATCGTATACATCGATAAGAATCCGAAGCGAGGATCGAAACGTTTGGTAACGAAATTATCGAATAAGTTTCGTTTACACACGAACTACCAGTGTTTGACTCGGAAAGGCATCTTCATGTACATAGATTTATTCAACTGAGTCTAATTATACCATCCATATATACCAGGTATGTAAATATGAAATCGGAATTTACCAATAGATGGCCATAGCTGTGAATGAAGTTGCCGTCAGACCGCGTCATTGACGCCATTTCCTTGTTCTGACATCTGACAAAGATTTTCAACTCACAACAATACAAGTTTCATACAACAGTATAGTTTGTAATAGCGTTGAACATGTCGAATTTTGTGCCTGGAAACTACGATTTGCGGACAGCATTGGTTTTCTGTTATCATTTGAAGAAAACTGCTGCAGAATCGCATCGAATGTTTGTCGAAGCTAACGGTGAGCATGCTCTTGGTAAATCACAGTGCTTTGAGTGGTTTAAAAAATTCAAAAGTGGCGATTTTGACTTGAGAAACGAAGAACGTGGAAAACCACCGAAAAAGTTTGAAGACAGCGAATTGCAAGCATTGTTGAATGAGGATGACGCTCAAACTCAACAAAAACTCGCGGATCAATTGAATGTGACACGAGAAGCCGTCTCCATACGTTTGAAATCCATGGGAAAGAT